CTTGCTCCGGAGCTCGGCCCATGACTCGCTCTGCTCCTTGCTCCGGAACTCGGCCCATGACTCGCTCTGCTCCTTGCTCCGGAATTGGAACCCTGACTCACTCTGCTCCCTGCTCCGGGACTCAAACCCCTACTCGCGCTATTCCCTGCTCCGGGACTCAGCCCGTGACTTGTGCTGCTCCCTGCTCCGGGCACCGGCTGTGCTTGTTCTGCTGCCAGCTCTGTGACTCGGCTGTGCTCGAACTGCTCCTGCTCCAGGACTATGCTCGCGCGCTCTGCTCCGCCTAAGCTCTGGCCATGATTCATTTCCCCTCATCTCGACTTGATTCTCCAGTTAGGGTAGGGTAGTTTAAGAAGTTAAAAGTTGGTGGCGGGAGTTGGGGAGGAGGCGGGGGGAAGCTGCTGCAGAGCAAAAAAAATGAAAGGGAAAGGAACTAGCGAGCAGAGGATTTCAGGCTGGAGTGTCTTACTCTGCCGCTATCTTGTCTTGTTTTGGAGGATTCAGTGATGATAACATCATTGAATGTCAAGGAGTGGTGATTAGGTTGTCTCTTAATGGAGATGATCGTTGCCTGGCATCTGTGCCACACAAATGTTACTTGCCATTTGTCAGCCCAAGCCTGGATGTTGTCCAGATTTGTTGCATTTAAAAACATGGACTGCTTCAGTATCTGAGGAGTCGTGAACAGTGCTGAATATTGTGCGATCATTGGTAAACATCCCCACATCTGATCTATAATGGAGGGAATGTCATTGATGAAGCATCTGAAGATGGTTGGCTCTAGGACAGTGCCCTGATGAACTCCTGCAGAGATGCCCTGGAGCTGAGATGACTAATGAGCAAATTAAATTCTAGTTCTGCAATAAGACACATGTTAGGACCAGTTTATGTTGTCAGTTCAATCTTAGCAGCAAGCAGTTGAGAACGTGTTTCAACATGGCTACAAAAGCATCCTTCATTCCTCTGCAATTACATTCATCATTGTAACTGTATTCAGGTGGAACGTGATAAGATGCTAAATCAGGGCCATCTTGATTTACTGTGGTGCAAGCTATTCAAACTGAATTTTGGCATGCACCATATTAAGTGAATATGAATTTAATGGAGAGAGAGAGAGACTGTTGCCTCTGAATGTAAGAGTCTAAAAATGTTAATGCTGTGGATTACATTAAGCACCACACAATATGACATTCGAGATATCAAATCAAGTCAGGTTGAAGAACAGCTTTGTCCCTCAAAGGAGTATCAAATCTCTTTCATAGTTTTGTAACAATGGGCTGAATGTTAAAAACACTGAATGATGTGGACTTGGGAGAGAAATCTGGGAGAATTATGTGAAAAGTTGAGCAAGGCCTTTCTTGACATCAGGAGCAGTTTGTGTGTTTTCAAACAGAATTCTGTACATTTAGATGAGATTCTTGACAGGGAGCAGCAAGTTGCCTATTAATGGGGATTACTGATTGTTGACCTCATTAACTGTAGATATTTTCTAATTGACTTGTTCAGAGATGTTATGACACACTTTTGGAGTTGATGGGACTTGAACCTCGGCCTCCTGATTGTGAGGTAGGAAGGCTACCATTGTTCCACAAGAGTCCTTAGGTTTCCCCTTGTAGCATTGACCAAACTAATTCATCTCAAGTATTTTCAATTAGGCTAATTCACAAGTGGAGTATAAATTGGATAACATTTGTAGCAAGTCTCCATGTCCATCAGCCTCTTTACTATACAGAAGTATGAAACAAGAAAATTATTGTCTGTAGGACTGTTTCTAAGATGTGTAGTTCGTTTTAGTCACAAAACATGCTTATTTCAGTTTGTTTTTGTTCTGGATGAATAGATGAGGTCAGCTGACTGTGCTTAAACTATTTTTTAAAAAAATCAATGTACTATTGTCTCTGATATAACCAAAAAATGCTTCTGATCTACTGAATTATGCATTGTTTACCTCTTCTGAATAACATAAATATTGTATGATCTTTTCTGCTTCTTACACCAACCAGTTAATTGGTAAAAATCAAACAATGTATAACATGTTTATAGGGGTGTCACTGCATATGTTAGGATGTTATGCATAGGCTAATATGTTATACTTGGCTAATACCTTAATTTGTTGAGAAATTTATTTCAGTGACCGTATGTAGATTTATGTTAATTGCCCTAACACAGGCCCTAATGGGTGGCATGGTGGCTTAGTAATTAGCACTGCTACCATGGATCCAGGTTCAATTCCAGCCTTGGGTACTGTCTGTGTGGAGTTTGCATGTTCTGCCTGTGTCTGTGTGGGTTTTTTTTCTTGCTGGGTGCTGTGGTTTCCTTCCACAGTCCAAAGATGTGCCAGTTAGTTGGATTCGCCATGCTAATTTGTCTGTAGTGTGCAGGCTAGATGGATTAGCCATAGTAAATGTGGGCTTATGGGGATGGGATGGGAGCATGGTTCTGGGTGGAATGCTCTTTGGAGGGTCAGTGTGGACTCGATGAGCTGGATGGCCTCTTTCTGCACTGTAGGGACTCTTATACACGCAGCACTTACAAATAGTACATGAAACTCTGTCTGATTCACTGCCCACAAGAATTTAATCAGATTGTTTTATGTTTTAATTTTCTTTTACTTTTAATGTATAAAAAAAGCTTCCCTTGAATATAGATAACATCACCTACTGTGTCAGTCTGATAACTCTTGCATGTCAGAGGTGCAACCCTGTGGTCAGCACCACACCTTAATAAATTACCACAATTTGTATGACATTTGTTTTCATTCCTTGCAGTCTTTAAAAGTACCAGAAAAATTTCATACCATCTATAGCATAAAACAAGCCATTAGCCTGGCTGAATAAAGCTGCTGCTAATGCTCCAGACAAGACTTTCCACATCAAGCAGATGTTCACCTGCACATCTGCCAATGTGGTATACTGCATCCGCTGTACCCGTTGTGGCCTCCTCTACATCGGGGAAACCAAGCGGAGGCTCGGGGACCGCTTTGCAAAGCACCAACGCTCGGTTCGCAATAAACAACTGCACCTCCCAGTCGCGAACCATTTCAACTCCCCCTCCCATTCCTCAGACGACATGTCCATCCTAGGCCTCCTGCAGTGCCACAACGATGCCACCCAAAGGTTGCAGGAACAGCAACTCATATTTCGCTTGGGAACCCTGCAGCCCAATGGTATCAATGTGGATTTCACAAGCTTCAAAGTCTCCCCTCCCCCTACGACATCCCAAAACCAGTCCAGCTCGTCCCCGCCTCCCTAACCTGTTCTTCCTCCCACCTCAAGCCGCACCCCCATCTCCTACCTACTAACCTCATCCCGCCCCCTTGACCTGTCCGTCCTCCCTGGACTGACCTATCCCCTCCCTAGCTCCCCACCTACACTCACCTTTACTGGCTCCATCCCCGCCTCTTCGACCTGTCTGTTTCCTCTCCACCTATCCTCTCCTCTATCCATCTTCTATCCGCCTCCCCCTCTCTCTCTATTTATTTCAGAACCCCCTTCCCCTCCCCCATTTCTGATGAAGGGTCTAGGCCCGAAACATCAGCCTTTCTGCTCCTGTGATGCTGCTTGGCCTGCTGTGTTCATCCAGCTCTGCACCTTGTTATCTCTAAGCTTCTTCTTACTCTTGTTACCTCTCACCACACTTTCTGCTCATCCCTCTGTGTTCAAATGGAGCTGGTGCAGATGTGAGAGTGAGGGGCCCTTGGGAGTGGCTGGGGCAGAAGTCTTAAGTTGATAGAGTTGCCTGAAGGGTGTAGGTGGCCATTGTGGTTTAGAGGCAAGCAAAAGACCTTTTGACCTTGACCATCAGGTTTCCTGAATGCAACCTAAGGTTCCTGACTCCTCTGAGAGAGAACAAGCTGACCTGACTCCATGAACATTGTGGGGGGAACTGGGAGTAGCCGACCATCTCACTGGAGCCAGCAGGTGAGGTGTGCACGGTGTAGACTTGCAACCTGTATCCTTATCCCATGTTGGTGAAAATTGTCAGCATTGGGAATGGGGGTAGGAATCCCAAAATCAAGTCCACCTGCAAGGTTTAAATGGCTCTGGAATTGTCCTGACTCCACAAAAATCTAGGCTAAATTTAATTGAAGCGGACACTGTGAAGACTACAAGTCCTGACAATATTCCTGGAATAGAACTTGTGTGGACTTGTGCTCTCAAATGAGCCATGTCACCAGCCAAACTGTTTCAGGACACTGCAACACTGTCATGTACCTGACAATTTATGCAACTGCTCAAGTATGTCTCACCCATAAAAAGCAGGACAACTCTAACCCAACCTGTTACAATCCAGTCAATCTACTCTTGGCCATCAGGAATGTAACGAAAAGTTTCATAAGGTTTGCCATCAAGCAACACTTATTAAGCACCTGTTCTCTGATACTCAGTTTGGATTCAGCCAGGGCAACTTGGCCCCTGACCTCCTTACATCCATGGTTCGAACATGGAAGCGAGTATAGAACCTGAGCTGGCTCTTGACACCATGGCATCATTTGACTGACTATGAGATTAAGAAGCCCCAGCAAAAGTGGGATCAATGGAATACAGTAGGAAAATCTCCACTGGTTGGAGTCCTAGTGCAAAGAAAGATTGCTGTGATTGGAGATCAATCATCTTAAACGAAACATCACTATAGGAGTTCCTCAGATATTAAGCTCAGCTATCTTCAGATGCTTTATCAGTGACCTTTCTTCAGTCAAAGGGTCAGACATGGAGAGTTTTGCTGAAGATTGTACAATGTTCAGCACCATTTGTGATTCGTCAGATACTGAAGCATTCAGTGTCCATATGCAGCAAGACCTAGACAGCATTCAATCTTGGAGAGATGAGTGGCAAGTAATATTTACACCAAGCAAGAGCTAGGCAATTTTCCACTGTCAATATCCTGAGCATTACCATTGACCAGAAACAGAACTGGATCAGCAATAAAAGTACTGCCAAGAGCAGGTCAAAGGTTGGGAATTCTATGGCAAGTAACTCACTTCTTGACTCCCCAAAGCTTGGTTACTGTCTACAAGACAAAACTCACAAGTCTGATGGTTTACTCTCCACTTGCTTGGATGAGCGCAACTCCAACTACACTCAAGAAGTTCAACACAATCCGGGACAAAGGAGCCCACTTTATAGGCTCCCCATCTGCTACTAGCAACATTCACTTCAAACACCATAAATGCAAAGTATCAGCAGTGTGCACCATCAACAAGATATATTGCAACAACTCACCAAGGCTCCTTAGATAACACCATACAAACCTCTACCATTGGAAGGACAAGGACAGCACATGCATGGGAATAGCACCAGCTGCTAATTCCTCTCCAAGCCTTGCAGAATCCTGACGAAGAAATAATCATTGTTCCTTCATTGTTGTTGAGTCAGATTCCTGGAACTCCCTTCCTAACAGCATTGTGGGTGTCCCCACACCCTAAGGACTGCAGCAGTTCATGAAGGCAGCTTGCCACCACATTCTCCAAGGCAATTAAGGTTTAGCCAGAAATGCTGGTCAGGCCAGCAAAGGCCGCATCAAATGGTGTTGATGGTTGATAGGATGCTTCACTGAATTACAGTAGTAAAGGTTTCTACAGAACAGCCATGAAGTTGCAACCATTTTATTTTTCACTGAACACAGGGCACAAAGGCAAATATATACTTAGTTTTCTCTGTGCCTAGGAATTTCCTTCAGTTTTTTACATAGCTATATATGAATACTTACTCGATAAAACCGAAAACTTCCGTAGAAGGGTCATTGGACCTGAAACAATAACCCCTTATTTCTCTCCATAGCTGCTGCCAGACCTACTGAGATTTTGTAGCAATTTCTGTTTTTGTTAGCAAAGGTAATGTTCTAATTGCAAGCCTTATTCACTTGTATTCATTTTTCCTGTTCCAGTCCAGTACAAGGATTAAATCGTCCAGATTGTTACCCATTGAGCTTGAAGATGATAATGGCAACAAGAAGAGGGGAACATTTTTCTCCTGGTCACGGAGGAGCCTGGGAAGAACTCAAAAGAGAAAAGAGAATGGCGATTCACATGCTGGTGAATTCTGCAGGCATATGTTTTACTGCTGCTAGACAGTCCATTTTTATTTTCGAGAGAGACTGTACACTTACCAGGTCCTGAGGATTTGTCTCTGTTTTGAGGGGTGGGGATTGGCTGGAGAAGCTGGGTTTTGGCATCCTTGAGCAAAGAAAATGGTGGAAGATTTGAGAGAGGTATACAAGATTATGACAAGTGTACTTAATGTGGACAAGGATACTTAATGTGGACAAGGATAAACTTCTCCCATTAGCTGATGATAAATGGACTAGGGTTAACAGATTTACAGTTTTGTGCGAGAAATGGAGGAATTTTATAATGAATAGTAACGACCTGAAACTTGCTGCCCATGAGGATGGTGGAGGTGGAAACAATGATTTCAAAAGGAATTTGGATAGGCACTTGAAGGAAATAAAGCTGCAGGGTTACAGGGATCAAGTGAGGGGGGGTGGTGGTGGTGTGAGACTGCTTGGCTTGCTCAATGAACTGAAAGGCCTCCTTCTGATCCATTCTCTGACAAATTCTCAGAAGGCCGTGGAGATCGGGGTCATTGCAGGTTAAGGTAGACATATCCTTGTATGCTAGTAAATTAGAGATTATCAAGGGATAGATAAGGATGTGAAAGTCAAAACACAAACAAAGCAATAGTGATCTTATTGAATGGTTGAGCAATCTTGTGGGGAAAATGGCCTAATTCTGCTCATAGTTGATATGTTTGTTCAAAAAATTCAACTTTATTTGCTATGGGATTGAGTAAGGATGTCTACTAAGGCTGTTTCAGTACTGTGACAGAAAACAGATTTAAGAGGTTAAAACACAGAATTTTGGAGAAGTTGAGCACAGATATCTTGCTTGTGAAAGAAAAGGAAGTTGGGTTGGGATACCAGTTTGCAAAGACAAAATGACCAAGTGTTGGCTTTTTTGACGAGAGCGGTGATGACAGCAGATTTGAAGACAGGCATGACAGTACCTGAGGACAGTGAACTATTAACACTATCAGATAAGATGGGTACGAAAGTGAAAATTGAAAGATCAGCAGTTTGGTGAGAATGGAGTGGAGAAAGTAAGAATGCGTCTCATTACTAGGTTAGCTTGGAGAGGCTATAAAGGTAGATGGCAGAGAAAGGTGCAATGTTAGGGTAATGCAGGCAGGAATCTTCAAGGAAATTTGGCTAAGTGGCCTTCGGGAAGTGGCCATTTTACTTGCAGTCATGCCAATCCTTGAGATGCTATAGATTTGAGGTTGATTATTTGTTAAATAGGTTTGTACTTATGAAGAGTAGTCTGAAACAAGTGTTCCTAACTTTGCTCACTGGTACCTGGTTTTTATGATTTACTGTATTCAATAGTCTGCAATTCACCAATTATTAATTTAATATGGTTTAAAATGTTGCTGCAGACTTCTGTATGAATAAGATTACTGCCTGCTGATTAATTCTGTTTGAAATCAGATCAACCAGACAGCAATATTGAGCAATCCTACTGATGGCTCAGTTGATTAAATCAATGGGTAACTAAGCCATGAGGGTCACAAGGCCTTTGGTTTGATTTCTGCGCTGTACTAAGCTAACTAATTCTAATCAAGGTTTGGCAATTAGCTTGATTAGAGAGGGGCCATTTGAGCACATGCTGTGCCATGGACAAATGGAGCAGAATTGACCTGCATTGATGCCTTTTATAGAGATGATACGAATGTTGAATATGGAACACAGACGAAACAGCCATGATCTTATTGAATAGCAGAGCAATCTTACAGGACATCATGTGATCTGATGGGGGAACCTAGCACATCAGTGCTAAAGATAAAGGTGAAACGTTTGCAACAATCTTAAACCCAAAGTGCCAAGTGGGTGCAATGTCTCAGCCTCCTCCGGAGGTTCCCAGTATCACTGATGCCAGTCTTTAGCTAATTTGATGACCTCCATGTGATATCAAGAATTGGTTGAAGGCACTGGATACTGCAAAGGCAGTGGGCCCCTGGCAACAGTACTGAAGACGTGTGATCCAGAGCTTGCCGCACCTGTAGCTAAGTTGTTCTTGTACAGTTACAAAACTGTACACGAAAAGGACAACCCTAACCCACCAGTTATTAGCATGTCAGTCTACTCTTAATCATCAGTAATCTGATCAAATTTTATCTTTAGTGATTTTATCTTTGTTACCATGACTATTACTATGACTTCAAGGCAGCATTTAACTGAGTGTGGCATCAACCTATATAAATGATCTGCAAGCAGGGACAGAGTATAACATAACAAAGTTCACGGATGATGCTAAAATTGGTGAGAAAAGCAGGCAGTGAGGAGAAGAGTTTACAGATGGATATTGATGGGCTAGGAGAATCTGGTACATGGGGTTTAACGTGTATAAGTGTGAGATTGTCCATTTTTGGCTGGAAAAATAGAAGGGCAAATTATTATTTAAATGGGAAGCAGATTCAAAGTGCGTCAGTGCAGAGGGATGTGGGCATCTTTGTGCATGAATCACAGAAAGTGTGTCTGCGGGTGCAGCATATAATAAGGAAGGCAAATGGAATCCTGGCATTCATTGCAAAAGGACTGGATTATAGAACTGAAAATGTGTTGTTACAATTATATATGGCGTTGGTGAGACCACATCTGGAATAGTGTGTTCAGTTTTGTCTCCTTGCTTGAGGAAGGATTTAGTGGCACTGGAGGCAGTTCAGAGATGGTTGACAAGGTTGATTCTAATGATGAAAGGGCTAGTGTCCAAGGAGCTGTTGCATAGCTTGGGCTTGCATTGCTGGAGTTCAGAAGAATGAAGGGCAATCTTAATTGGTAACTTAAAAGAGATTGATAGGGTGGACCTTGAACAGATGCTCCCCCTTATGGGACATTCTTGAACAAGAGCGCATAGATATAGAGTGAGAGGAAGTAGGTTCAGAACTGAGATGAGGAGAAACTACTTCTCTCAGACGGTTGTGAATCTGTGGAACTCACAGAGTGCAGTGGAGGCAGAATCAATCAACACATTTGAGAAAGAAATGGATATGTTTCTGATGAAAAGCAGGATGAAGGGCTGTGGGGCAGGCAGGTGAGTGGAGTTCAGAGCAGGATAAGATCAGCCATGATCATGTTAAATGGTGGAATGGGCTCGAAGGGCTGAATTGCCTACTCCTGCTCCTAGGTCCTATGTTCAAGGAGTATGAGCAATGAGAATTTGGGAGAAAACTGGTTGGCGTCATATGTAGCACAAAGGAAGATGGTTGTGGTTATTGGAGGCAGTCATCCCAACTCCATCACATCTCTGCAGGAGTACCTCATGAAAATATCCTAGGCCCAAATATCTGCTTCATCAAAGCTTCCATCACAAGGTCAGAAGTAGGGATGTTTGCTGATGACTGTACAATTTTCCCCACTGTTCACAACTCCTTAGACACTGTCATGTCTAAATTTAACTAGATCCGGGCAATATCCAAGTTTGGGCTGACAAGTGGTGAGTCACATTTGCGCCACATAAGTGCTATGCAATGACCATCTAGGGTAGGTAGTAGCAGAGTATTGATGTCAATGACCTAGTAATCCAGATCGCCAAGCAACACCTACATTCATGAATGAATAAAAATCAATCTTCAACAAGAGGGAATCTAATCATCATCCCTTGACATTCACTGGCTCTACCATTGCTGAAACCCCCATTATCATCATCCTGGGGGTTGCTGTTGACCAGAAACTCAACTGAACAGTGGCGGGGATCCGTGCAGTGAATAACTCACCTCCTAACTCCCTAAATCTATCTACAAAGCACATGTAAGGAGTGAGTCAGAGTGGTATCTCACTCTGTACTATTTAGATAAGCCATGGGCAGAAAGACAGAAGGTATATCAACACATATAGATAAACAATAAGTGCACTGATACACGAGGGAGTAGTTCAGCACACTTATAATTTGTAGACAATCTTTGGGGAGACAGGAGGTGAGTTAGTCACCATGGAATTCCTAGCCTCAGACCTGCTGTTGTAGCCACAGGATTTATGGCCAATCCAGTTCAGTTTCTGGTCCCATGATATTGATAATGGGCGATTCAGTGATGGTAATGCCATTTAATTGCTATTTATGGGACTTTTCTCCAGGAAAATTGATTATTATGCTTTAATAGCAGTCAACAAAAATATTTCTGCAAAGCACTTTGTGGCATCCTGCGGTTGTACAAGGTGCTGCATCATAACAATTCTTTCTTCACTTCAGTGCTGGCATTGAAAAATTGTCTCTTGGTAATATGTGGAGGTCTTTTGATAGAATGGAAAATATTCAGAAATGATCACGTATTCTGGAAGAATAAGAAGAAATAAGGATAAATAGGCCTAAAAATAAAACTTGTTATCTAACTAAAATTCAAAGACACTACCTTTTTTGTATACTATGTTCACTAAGTCACGTTAACCTTACCTTGCACTTGTTCAAAGAAGTGTGTGGATCATAATTTTATGTGGCAACAGAAGCAGTGCTCTGTTGTTTTACAGACTGTAGAGGACTGCAGGAAATAATTTTATATTCTTATACTATGCATTCTTTCTCTCACTCACTAGACCTTTCTGAAAGTAATGGACTGTCTCAGTGGCATCGTGAATCATTTGGCTCTATGTCATCTTCCACCAGCACAGAGGGGATGGCTTCTAGCTGTCCAAGAAACAACAAACAAGAGGTTAGTGCAAATTAAACAGAAATAGGGAGTAGTCCCACAGCTCACATGTAGTAGTAGTGGAGGATCTGAAGCATGATTATATTTTGAAAACATTTCCTTAGTTTAATAGTTATTCACCAACTCCAGATCATTTACAGGAAATAATCTATTTATGTCTATTTCAAAGTTAATTTAAAGAAAATGATTGGGATGACGTGTGCTGGTTTAAGTCAGTGTGCTGTACAGTTTAGGAGAATCCCAGGATTGATCTTTGCTTTGTGCTCATGCCAGTTGAGGGAATGAAGGATAACTAAAACTGGCTCAGCTTCATTGCCTCAGGGGAGCACAGTTGTCACACTGGGAATTAGGCTAATGTCTGCTATATTGGCTGCTCACAGCGTCGTCATCTTTACATTGGTGGAACCAAAAACAGAAAAGTGGTCACACTTCTGCTGTGTCCTTAAAAATGATCCTGAACTTCCAGTTGCTTGCCATTTCAATAAACCATCTTTTGCCCATGCTAACATTTCAGTTTTAGGTCTGCTGCTTTATTCCAACAAAGCTCTATGCAAGCTGCTGAGGCACTTTACAGTCTCTGGGACTCGACATTGAGTTCAATAACTTCAGACCTCTGTCTTCCATTTTGATTGCATGCCACCCTCTCTCCTGGCTGTGTCTTGTTTATGCCTTGTTTGTTTATGTGTTTGCTTTTTTTTTATTTAGTGCCATTTTGTACAAATAATTTTAGATTCTTGGAGTTCACAGGGCCATTCCTACTGAAGTCTGTGTGTTCTTAGATTAGACAAGCTGCCAAAGTCTGGCACCTTCAGCAGCTCCTTGGTATCTAGGCCCAATCATCTCAGAGCAGAAACCTCAGGGACACAGTTGTCCCTCCTCTCCTGCTCTTCTTTCTGCAGTTTGATAGAGATGCCTCTAACAGGTCCACGCCAGATACAATTCATTAAGTGTGTCACATTACCTGTAATTTTGATGTGAAGTTTCTTGCTGCAGATGATGATGATTTCTTTGCAGACTCTCTTGTTGGTGTGGAAGTCATTGATAGGTGGGTGCAGTATTTCTCGATTATCACTCGAGCAGCTTTCTTGACTATCTCAGTCCTGACACAACCCATCTTGGATCCATTATGTCCTTTACATAACTATAATTTATACCTATTTTATATCTCTATCTCTCCTTTACCACCATGAGCGCATCCTTTGCCTTTTGCTCTGGGCAGCTTCAAGATCTGTTCCTCTCACTCCTCCTCCTCCTCTGCCAACAACATAAAAGACATGAATTCTGAGCCTCTTCCAGTTTTAAAGCAGAGTCATATTGGACTTGAAACATTAATTCTGTTTCTCTCTGCATAGATGTTGTCAGACCTGCCGGGTTTCTCCAGTGTTTTCTGTTTTTACTCTAGGCTGATGTTAAGATGGTCACTTGGGTGAGGTCATGGAAATACTCTAGCTCAAAACTTAGAACTAAAACCCATAAAGGACTGGACATCTTTAAGAGAAGAGAAGAGAAGAGAAAGGGATAGAATTACTGAAAAAGGAACAGTGTTGAAATAAATGCTGAGGAGATATGGTTTATGACCAAACTCTTACTTCTTGTTCTGGAATCATCTTAGTGTTGAATGCCCTGGACATGCATGAGCTTCATAAAAGGCAGGCCACATTTACTGAATCTAGTTGGAAGTTTTGTTGAAGCAATGGAAAGTTGAGGACATGCTGGCTGTGGATTATGTCAGTATAGTTTTGGCAAAATAACAATTAAAAGGCCATTAGCAAAATTGAGGGCCATGGATTAGGGAGCGGGAGTCAATGGATAAAAATAATTGGCTAAAAGTCAGATAACAGTGGCTTGTGATAGATGGTTCTTTTCCAGACTACATGGTGACTGTGGTGTTCCTCAAGGGCCAGTGCTAGAACTGCTGTGTTTTTTGCTTCACATAAATGGCTTGGAAATTGGAACATAAGAGTAAAATTTCGAAATTTGCTAAAGATACAAAACTTGCAGGTACAGCAAACATTGAGAACAATACCAGGCCACTGCAATAGGACATTGATAAGCTAGCAGAGTGGGCAGATATTGGCAGATGGAGTTTAATACATAGAGGATGCATTTTCTCAGAAGGGATTGGGAGATGCAATCTATACTTGATGACACAGTTTTAGAGAAGGGACAGAGGAACTAATGCATGTATTATAGGTGGCAGTGCATATTGAAAGAATAGTTAGCCAGCATATGGTATCTCACACTAACTCCGCTCTCTAATCCATGACCCTCAATTTTGTTAACAGCTTTTTAAGTGGTACTTTGTCAAGTCTGTATAGACACAAATTAACTTTTCCATGCAGGAGAGGTAATGATCTGGAACTCACTGCCTGTGAGCATAGTGGAAGTTGAGATGATTTTAAAAAGAAATTTAATGGAACTTAGATATACAACAAAAATAGAGGATAGAGTAAGAAAATGGGACTGACTGGACTTTTTTTATAGGAAGTTAGCATGGACAATGAGTATAATGGCCTTAATCTGTGCTATTTTCAATTTCTAACCTTATACAATTGAGGACTATACAATTATACACTATACTATTATACAAATAGCAGACATATAAAATGAAATGATTTGATCTTATTGTGTTAAGAAATATAGGCTGGAATTTTACACCTAGCACAGGAGCAGTCTTCTAAAAGGGTGGGGTTCGCATAAGATCTGAGGAAGGGTCACCGGACCCGAAACGTTAACTCTGTTTTCTCCTTCACAGATGCTGCCAGACCTGCTGAGCTTTTCCAGCAACTTTTTGTTCACATAAGATCTGGTGGGATATTGTCTGGTGGGGGAGTGGGCATATTCAACAGTGAAGTAACAAGGTGTAGAGCTGGATGAACACAGCAGGCCAAGCTGCATCAGAGGAGCAGGAAAGCTGACAAGAAGGGTCTAGGCCCTAAACGTCAGCCTTCCTGCTCCTCTGATGCTGCTTGGCCTGCTGTGTTCATCCAGCTCTACACCTTGTTATCTCAGATTCTCCAGCATCTGCAGTTCCTACTGTCTCTTCAGCAGTGAAGTAGTTGTTAGACAGTCATCATTGGATGAACACCAACCCTTACGTAGCTAATTAATGACCTCTTAAGGGCCTCCCACCCACTGCCCTTCAGTCTCCCCTTAAATGCTCAGCAGGAGGGGCATGCCACACGGACAGGTGCCTGCCTATCTGCAAGCTGTTGACTGTGCCCCCGCTGTTGTGATTGTAACAAGGTCAGCCAGATGGACCTCATAGGATATGAGTTTCCTGATCGGGGCTATTAATCTGGCCCAATCAGGGAGCCTTGGCTGACGGATAAGAACAGGAGTGCCAGAAATCCTGTTCACTCTGACAGCTGGCTCTGAGGGAGCTGGATCAGTGTAAAGGGCTTTCTGCATGTAAATAACTGGTGACTTGGTGATGGGATACCAGCCTATGTGGAGTTATTTCACCCACACCCATACAAGCATCCTACCCCATCTTGTCTTTCCCCCTTCCCCCTTCCCTGTCCAGCTAATGGTTCCCTCACAACCTCCTACATGTCTGGTGCTGCTGGTAATAAAGAGCAGCCAGCCACGTGACTGATTGGCATTTGTGAGAAGATCTCATAGTGATAACTCCTTGGGTGTGTGGCCCACCACCTCCCACCCTAACCTGAGCTGGTGCCCATAAAACAGCAGACAGGGCTGGCTTCAAAATTGGGAGCTTGCTCCCATTTTGCAAAAAGAAGATTAGCAGGCATCTGAGTTTGTTAACAACCATTTAACCTAAATATTGCATTGCCCATGCCATAATAGGGTTAGCGTTGGCAGGACAGTTTAGGGTTTTTTATTTAACCAGAAAAAGTGAGATTTGGAGGGATTGCCCTGTATCTCTGTTTATCATTTACTTGATAGCCATCAATCTTGCTTTCCCATCTCTCTACCTAGGCTCCCAACCATCCCTAAATATAAAAAAAACACATTCTGGGTGCTGTATCTGTCTTCATCCTGGGTCTTTATGAAGTCCTAGCAATGTCCACTGCTTGGTTCTAGCACTGCTACAAGTACGAAAGCTGCTGGCCAGTCACATTGGAGGGTTATGAAACATCCATGCGTTATTGCTGGAGGGCATTCCTGTTTCACATAGGTCGGATGGCATCTGCCATTTCATCCAAATTGGAAAGCAATATCTCCCCAACAGTTCAACCCTATGTCAAATGCAGTGCTATTTTTATCTGACAAATGAACAGTTAGCTAGCACAAAGTACACTGTGTTTAAAATCACGAGTTATTTTTTTAAAAAATCTTAGCTTACAGTGTACTTTTCAATTATTTTCCAAGACTATCTTTATTGATATTATTTGATGGGTTTTAGTTTTATTCTGAGAAAATATTAGAAATAAGTTTTTATCTATAAAGGATTATTATTGATTTAGGTTCTACCCGCATCGATTGTATGTTCCAGTTTGTTGCTCTTAGTATTCCAGCTTGACCGAAGATCTTCTTTTTCCAAAAGAACGTTTCTGCAAAAGTACCTGTGACTGAGAGAGAAAAACGTTCAAAACACTGCACCGTGAGTCTGCCGGATGGTTCCTTGCATACAGTTACGATCCAAACCGGTATTTCTATTAGAGAACTGTTGACAGAGCTCTGTGAGAGGTTACAAATTCAGTTGGCTGCCGTAGATCTTTTTCTGGTTGGAGGTGACAAGGTATGTAATGTGCATCTTCCAACGATGGTGTGAATAAATATGTGGATGAGAGTGTTCATGATGGTGGGATTGCGTTTAGAGTTGTGCATGCCAGTGAGTGCCGGTGAAGAATGGAAAATAGCTGACAGTTATAAGGGGGTGGTATAAAGAGCAACAGTGGTGTTACTTCTTATTCACTCATGAGTTGTGGGTGTCACTGGCTGGGCCAGCAACTATTACCCATCCCTAATTGCCATTTGAACTGACTGGCTTCTGGGCCATTTCAAACAGGAGTCAAGAATCAACCGTGCTGCTGTTGGTCTGGAGTCACATGTAGGCCAGACCAGGTAAAGACAATAAATTTCCCTCGCTCAAGACATTAGTGAATCAGATGGGATTTTATAATAATTGACAATGATGACATGGTTGGCATTATCTTGGGTCTCTGGATACTACACCACACCTGATATCACTAGATAAGAAATCCAGATAGCCCAGTTAATACACTGGAGACTTTGGTTCAAATTCCATCAAGGTAGTAGGTGGAATTTAAATTTGATTAATAAAAATAAAATCTGGAATGGGAGCTAGTCTCATTAATTGTGACTGTGAAACTATCATCGATTGTCGCAAAAATCCATTTGCTTCACTATGTCCTTTAGGACTAGAAAGTTCCCATCCTTACCCAGTCTGGCCTGCATGTGATTCCAAATCCGTATCAATGTGACTGGTTCGCAAATGGCCTAGCAAGCCATTCAGTTCAAGGGCAATTTGGGTTGGGCTGCAAATACTGCCTTTTCCAGCAATATACATATCTATGGTAGAGTAAGGAAAAAAATTAAAACAGAAATTCAAAAGCAGGGCAGTAACCATGAAGAGTGGGAAATAAATGGCATCAAAGGAAAAGTGAGCAGAAAACAGGTGAGAAAGTAGTATTGAATAGAGGAGCAGGAGTTGAAATTATTCCTTTTGAAGAATTTAGGGGAAGAGACATGAATTCCAGCTGCAAAGGGAGTGCCAGAATTATGGGGGCATGAAAGGGATATGGCCACTATTAACTCCTGGTGGAGAAAATAGAGCCAGTTTGAGCTGACACGGAAGAGAAAATGCTTCTTTTTAGGAGGAGGAGAGAGAGGAATAATGCAAGTAATTGAGTAGGTTCAAGCAGGAGAAGAGTTCAAGGTTGAATTACAGAGAAGAATGACAGCTTATCACAAGGGTCGTTGGCACTGACCTCTCTTAAAATGCACCACCAGTTTATTCTTTGATAATGCAAGCTTAAGTTACAAATACCATCTAATAACCTGTTGTTGTATGTGTAACATTGAGAAATTGGTTCTTTTGAATCGGTTTGAACCTTCTTTACTTACTTTGTCGATTGTCATACACTGTTGTGTCAAATGTGGTTGTTAATTCTGGGAGGATCACTGTTGTTAAATTATCAGACTGCTTATCTGATATTTAATACTGGCTGAACAAAAATTTCCTTCCCTTAAATACAGATGAGATTGAACCCATTGTTTTCAGTCTCACCTGTGTTTTTGTTTCAATTTTTTTCTGTTCCCTAGCTACTGATTCAATTCCTCTTCCTGGCAACAGTCTGAGATTAAACTAGCCTATTTGTAATCTTGGTGTCACATTTGATCATGAGATGAGCTTCCGAACTCATATTGGAGGCATAACCCAAAACTGCCTATTTCATCACCCTTGCATATATTCATGCCTTCTAGATTGATCTCTAGATTTGATGATCAAAAGCACTTGCCATAGATCTCCACATTCCATTCTCCCCAACCTTGAGATCATTCAAATCTTTGTAGTCTGTGCCTTAACCTGCATCAAATCCTGTTGCTTTGCATACCTGTGCTTGCTGACCTACATTGACTGTTGGTCAGCCAATGTCAGGACTTTGAATATTTCATCTTGTTTTCAAATCCTTCCATGCCATCACCTGGCTCTAATCTCCTCTAGCCCAACAATCCTCTGAGATCTCTGTGCACTTGTGCAACCCAAAGTTAATTGCTCTACTAGTAGCGCTTCTGCACGTCAGTGCTTAGCCCCACACTCCAGAATTGCCTCTCTACATTTTCTCAATTCTACTTCCCTTTCTTCCTTTAAGACATTCTTCAAAGATTCCCTCTATGCCCATGTTTTTGGTCATCAGACCTATTAATTTACAAGGCTTGGTGTCATACTTAGTTCCTTTGTTCACATTATGGTCCCATGAAATACCTTGGGACATTTGATTAGGTTAAAGTATCTAAATATATTGTTGTTGAGAAGACATATTGCTTAAAAGAGTTTGGGTCATTTTATTGCATTCTATTTTGTTGAACATTTCTGCAATGTTTTCTTTTCTTGACTGATTTTTTTTAAAGCCTCTTGTACTTGATCAAGACTGCAACACATTGAACTCACGAGAGATTCGATTAGAAAAGCGTACACTATTTCGGTAAGTTAACACGTTGTTATGATTGAGATATGACACGTGTAGACCATTCAGCCCCTCAAGTCTGTTCTGCCATTCTTTAGACCACAGCTGATCTGTATTTTAACTCTATTTACTTTGGTTCCCTAACACTTAATTAACCTTGCCTCACAGAAATCCATCAGTGTCAGTTTTAAAATGTTGAATTGACTCCAACAGCTGTTTGGGGATGGTGAGGAGAGGAGTTCATAGATTTCCAGTATCCGTTGTACGGTGTTTGTGATGTAAAAAATGCAACATGAATAAAATATGAACTATAAATTCTGTAGCCAATAAATCTGTGTTGTTTAAAGTTTCTGTTTGAAACATCCTGTCATTTGTGTGCACCCATGGGAGCTGCCTTTTCCTGATACATTGCAGTTACCATAATGGAAATCGATTTAGTCAGGATGATGAATGACAAATGCAGGGCTGGCTTGTAGGACCAAGATTCTGGGAATCATTTTGACAACTTGTCTTAATTAATGATTCCCTACCATTGTCTTTTACTTTCAAATCAATTAAATTCAGAGTTTCCATAAATTGTTGCATTCCTGTCGAAAGGCTTTTAGTATTTTCAGTAATAGGAATTGATTAGTGTAGGCTAGATTGATTGTTTTATTGTTAAATTTACTGCTAATGTTAAAACTGAGATTGATGCTGTTTTATTAACCAAAGGTATTAAGTTAGGTTGAATGTCAACCACAATCATATTGAATGACTAATACTTTTCTCTTCACAGATGCTTCCTAACCTGCTGAGTATTTTCCACGTTTTCTGTTTTGAATTTAGATATCCAGCACTTGCAGTAGTTTGTTTTTGTAAGGAAAAGTAATATTCAGTGCTGCAGAATACTTCTCATCCAACAGCACATGCAGCTTTAAGCTCAGTCGAGTGATTTCTACATTTCTATATTTCTGTTTAACCACACCAACTAAGGGCAGATAGGGATAAGCAATGAATGCTGGCCCAGCCAACGCCCCAGGAATAAATGAAAAAAACCAAAAGAATGTACTGTAGCCCCACAGGAGGCTATTCCATCCTGTATACACCAGCGCCCGCTAAAAATTGGGCTGTGATCAAACAAATTTATTTCATGTTTGACCCTTACAATCAACGTCTCATTTGTATGAGCCTGGACTTGATTCCAGCCTAGGTCCCAAAACCATTTCTATTTTTACTCTGTCCCCCTAGGATAATTGAGGAGGATGGGTGAAGAATAGTGGCATGGTCATCAGTAAATCAGATATCCACCTACTGTGCCAGAGATCTGTGGAATGTAAGCCCTTTTTCATGCATTTTTACTCAAGGATCTTGCTGTTTGTGCCTTTGTATTAATGCATGTGAAGGGTGCAGGACATAAATGCTTCTTTGGTTGCACTGTAAACATTGCTCAAACACATTTGGTAGGGATCATTGCAATTAATGAAGTAGAGAAAAACCAAAGTTACAACACTTCTCAGATATAACACAGTGTGGAGCTGGAGGAACACAGCAGGCCAGGCAGCATCAGAGGAACAGGAAAGTTGACGTTTTGGGTTGGGATCCTTCTTCAGAAATGGGCTTCTTCAAAAATTGCCCATTTCCGAAGAAGGGTCCCGACCTGAAACGTCAACTTTCCTGCT